TGACAGTTTCTTCCCCAAAGGACATCAATGAATGTTTCATTCTCCAGTGAGATCAGTTCGAATCCTACCATGACAAGTGGTGGAATTTGAATTCTCTTTTTAAAAAATGGAACTAAGTAAGTGGCCTAATGTCAATCATGTAACTGTTAGCGAATGTCACGAAAGAATCCCCACCTGGTTCATTGATGTCCTTTGGGGAAGAAACTGTCAGAAGCTGCTCTGAGGAAGGGTCATTACCTTCATAATGACAATGGATTCTGCCAAACCTGGGGAATTTCTCCAGCAATATCTGTTTTTGTTTCAGATGTACAGCACCTGCAGTTCTTTGATTTATCTCAGCCTTAAATAACCTCAACATCTCAATATCCGGGGGGACATGACAAAATTCCTTCTTATCCCAGTCTAAATGATCATTCATTTTACCTTGAGTTTATGACCCCTCTAGATTTCCTCGCCATGGATAAACAGCTTCTCAGTATCTGGTCTGTCAAATCCGTCTCCTTACAAACTTTTCTATGCCTCAATGTGACCATCTCCTATTTTCTAAATTACAAAGAGTGCAATGGCACTCTTCTCATCTTTTTAATTTAGGTCAATGCTCTCCTTCCAGGAAACACTGCTGATCTTAGAAATTTGTAGGGCAAAGGAGTAGGGGAAAGTACTGTGAGTAATTAGATAGCTTTATCAAAAGAATTGGCATGTATACACTGGGACAAGTAGCTTCTCTCTGTGCGCTATGATTCTTATGTTCCTCTGCTCTGGGAACACATTAGGTAGGCTGTAACCAGATAATTAGATTATGCAGTGCCTATGATCATAAGATCATTAACAATAAAGAATTGTAAATTTCTTGTGTGAAATTTCAATTCATAGGCTTTCAGTAGTTCAAAAGAAGGAAGTATCAAACAAGTTGGAAGAAAATGTAAGCCAAAATTTTGCATTCTGAGGAAAATTTTCATGCTGATGCCCAATAATTCATAATGTGAGAAATCAAAGGATTTCTCTTCACAAACTCAAGGAAGACTAAACAAGAAAAACAGATATGGCCACTTAAGGTTCTTGCAAAGATTTGTAGCTCTTCTACGACAAACACTCACAAAGACCAAAAATCCTACACCCATGACATGCAGGACCAATGTACTTTACAAAATATCTTGCAATGACTGCAACAAACGTTACATCGGCCAGACCAGAAGGAAACTAGCCATCAGGATACACGAACACCAGCTAGCAGCAAAACAACACAACAAACTTTCCCTCATCTCAGTGCACTCGGACAATGAAGGCCATCAATTTAACTGGGACAATGTGACCGTTCTAGCTCAAGCCAACCACAGACACACACGGGAATTCATAGAGGCCTGATTTTCAACTTGTAATGTAATGAACAACCATGTGAAATTAGACCCCATATACAAACCCATGCAAAAAAGAACCGGAAATGACACACCCCGACCTAACAGACGGATCATATAAATACCAAGTGGTGTAGAACAACACCACTTCCTCAGAGGCTGCACTGATGATGTTACCTAGTGTGGTGACAAAACATCTGTACAATAACCAGCCAGCTTGGCGAGCAAGCCAACAACCTCAGATATAGCCACTACATGGACACATATGAAACTTGATTTCAAATGATGGTCAACAATCTAAGATACTTGCTTGGCAAAATATATGCCATTCAAAATTGCAGACCAAATTGCTTAAATATCCACAAGATATTCCCCCAACAAACTAACTATTGATGGAACATATATCTTGACTTAAGAACCAGCCCCATTCAATATCTTGGCAACCAACCAGTTGTTGCTGGGTTGAGAATCAAACCTGTGAATTGGGAGATATTGTTCTTTCTCATGGTGAAAAAGATAGACTAGCAGTTTTGAGGGTGGTCAGAGTTATCAGAATCACATTCAGAAACAATGATCACACTTACGAAGAACAATGTACTACAAGGTACGTGCAGCATAGAAACAGGACAAATTCAGCAACAGGTTGTTAAGTGTCTTTATGATATATTAAAATAAGACTCTATCCACTCTCTCAAGTGAATGCAAACAATTCCAGGGCTTTTTTAAAAGATGGCGTCTGAAATATTTTTCTTCCTGATGTCACTAAAACTAATCTATCTGGCTATCTATTGTATAACTGTTTGTCGCAGTTTCCTGTGTGAAATTTGACTGCCACATTTCCTACATTACAACAGTGACAATGGTTAGGTCTTTCATTGGCTATGGACACTCTATGATTGGCATAGTATGTTTCTTCCTTTTTTCTTATTCTGACCTCATCAATGTATCAATATGGGTTGAAGGCAGATTAAAGATATCCTCACGAAAATTGATGTCATGGCATAAAGGACACTTTCCCCACAAGGTAATTGATTATTGTATCTGCTCCCCCACCCCCAGCTGTCCCATGCTTTCTGTACGTTCGATCTTATGCTGCATACGGTTATCACTTATCTCTTAATCACTTACCTGTTACTGCTTGCTCTTATTATTCAATACCAACCCTTGTTCCTCACACCTCTTTTCAGATCCAGCCCATACTGGTCACTTGTTGTCATCCTCAAAAGCACCAGCTCAGAATACTGTAGCAGGCCAATTGGAGGTGTCCATACCAAGTGATTCAGTGATGACAAATGAGCAGGAAAAAAGGCAGGGGGAGAGATCAAACCAGAGAGCCATTATACAGAGGAGAACCTTGTGTCCAAGACCTCCTATAGAGGGTACAGATCAAGACCTTCAGCAAATAGCTGCAGACCAGCAAATACTCAGTGTTCTGGACTGCATGCCTCAGAGCTTTCACATCACGACAGACTCTTAAATACTAAATAGCCTTAGGCACAATTCCAGCACACCAAGGACACATTAAAACCTTAAGGACTAGTGTCCACATTACCAGCTGACAGAGATGGTTATAACCAAATATATCCACATTATCTGTCTCATTGTAGGCCATTTCTTTTCCTGAATCTGATCTTAACTGAGGGCGATTGAGTATGTCCAGAAATGTGATTTTTGGATCCAGAAAACAAAGAGGTATACTTACTTACATTTTGTAGTTTATGGTAACTAAAAATGGTGTATGCTGAACTGTTTAGCCTTGAGAAAATCCCAAATTACTCTAGTTGGACTTAGCTCTCAAAAGAGAAACTGAGGTCTTAAGGAGGCAACTTAGACCATTCTGGTAAATAAATGAGGTCAATAGATAAGGTGAAACCAGAAGAGTGAGTTTCATTGAAAAACAACTCCATCTTTAGTGGTTGTCTAGGTTGATATATTTCTAACCTCATTTTTACAGCATACCTAATGTTGAAAAGGTAATATTGAATTTGATAAATGCAGTTTGGTGGAGCAAACAGAAAAAAGAAGAAAGTTATCAGGTTTTGTGAGGTCTTTGATGATAAAAGAGGGGTGGGAGGAAGGGTGCGTCGACTATAAATACTAGCATGGACCTATTGGGCCAAATGGCCTGTTTCTATTCCGTATTTTTGTACTTTATGAACTAAGGAGGGGGAGACCTAGTTTTTAGACTCTGTTATTTCTTGTGTTTGTGGGCTGGGTGACTGGAGCCCTGTTTATTTTCATGCACTTTTAAAAAAGGCTTGCAGCCCTGTAAGTGAACAAATGGGGACTGAGAAATTCAATGCATTATTTTTTTTTTAATTTTTAAAATTCGTGCTGTTCACTAGTGACAGGGGTGCAGGGACCAAAGATTCATAGAACCTGAACAAACAACCAAAAGAACTGCAGATACTGGAAATCAGCATCTGTTCTGAAGAAAGGGCACTGGATCAGAAACGTTAACTCTGCTCTCTCTCCACAGATGCTGCCAGCCCTGCTGAGTTTTTCAGCAATTTCTGTCTTTGTTTCTGATAGAACCTGAGTTTAGGGGATTGATATGTTTGACTGAAGTTAAAGTATGAGTTTAGTTGGCAATTTATTGTAGGTGTCCCAGGGATATATACCAGATTAAGGAAAAAGCATCTAATGAATGTGCAGAAATTCACTAGAAAGAAACTAAGTGCGGCTGCACCAACCTGAGCACAAACCTTGTTGTGGAGGTACTGGTAACTCTTTACTGGAGTTTTCAATGTTTGTAAGGTTGTTGCTGGCATAAAAGGAGAAGTGTGAATTAGAATCATTTTCTGATGTGCGTAAAGATATCTTTTTAGTGCAGTGTAGTATCGCTAATGTTATTGTTTCATGTGTTTTATTCTTTGCGTTAAACGTACACTTCCAGACTCTTATGAATATGTTCAGAAACAGACTACTACCTTTAAAAAAAACAAAATTAGTGTCCAGCAAGCCAGGTTTCGCTCTAAGACTTACTTGTTGAGTATTAACATTGGCTAGAATCAGCCGTTACTGCAGTATAAATGTAGGAACTTTTTCCTACGGTTGTCCAAGGCATAAGTGAGACCACTGTCCAATGTTTTGGCAGTTTTGGCCTTCCTACTGAGGGATATACTTGTTTTAGAGGCAATTCAGAGATATCATTAGCGTTAATTCTTGAAATGAATGAGTTGTCTTCGATTGAAATGGTGAGCAGGTTGAACCTGAACCCATTGAGGTTTTGAAGAATGAGAGGCGATCTTTTTGAAACAAGTAAGTTTCTGAAGAGAATTGATATGGTCAATGCTGAGAGAATGTTTCCCCTTTGTGGAGGAATCTGCTGCTAGGGAACATAGTTTCCAAACGAGAATATCCAATTTGAGAAGGAAATAAAGAGGAAGTTCTTTTTTAGAAGGATCGTTGACCTTTGTATAGCCCCACCCCAGGGAGCAGTGGAGGCTGGTCATTGATAATATTCAAAGCTGAGTTAGACAGAGTCAACGGTTATCAAGTTGGCAGGAAAGTTGTGTTACAACCACAGTCAAATGAGTTTACTGAATGGTGAATCAGTTTCAATGGGACAAACAGCCTACTGTTCCTATTTGGGATCTTCTTCTGTCCTTGTGTTGAAATTGTTTGAGGCAATGTTCTGAACAATTAAAGTCATTCGTAATCTGAGAACTTAAATTTAAATAAATAATAGACCACAAATAACTCATAAAAGTAACTAAAAATCTAAAGAGAAATGTCACAAATTCCTGAAAGATGTATGTGCTAAATGTACCTTCTATCTATAACAGGGATTCCCAAGAGTGGAACAACAAAAAGAGAACACAAGTAGGACATTTCTGATGGCATGATGCTATTGACACTATAAAACCGTGTTAAAAGGATTATTTCACGTGGTTCTTTTTCTTCAGGAATACAATAGGTGCTGATTTATTCTGTTGGAGCCAGGAGGAATACATGTATGCTGTTATGCTCAGATATGCGGTGCTGCATTGAAGGTGTTTGGACAAATGCTTGAGTTGCAGCGTGGCAGAAAATTACAGCCTCTTCACTGTCACCCATGACCATCATAATTCAATAAAGCACATGACTCAAATCATTTTTCTGACACAAATACGTACTGTAAATAAACACTTGCGGACATTAGTTTGTCTTTTATTCTCACTTTGCTTTTCAGCTTTTACAAAATGTTTATTTTCAGTTTGAGAATTTTCATTGTGTGAAATTGTGCATTAATTTTGTGGCTCATGGTGAATTGCTTAGATATTTAGTTCTCTTTCATCGCTCCTCCTTTTACCAACCCTTTATTTACCCAGTTGAATTTTATTTGGTGTTGGGTTTTTCTTAAGATATCCCAACTCTCCAGTCTCTGGGTGCCACACAATATTGCAGCCTGCCTCATGCTGATGGTCACATGGGATCCAATCTCATTCTTAAACAGTGAGTGATCTTGGTAGTGCGTAGAAGGATCATAGCAGTAACACTTGAGTTGCTGAAACGTGACAATACACAGAGCCATGTCTCAATAACATAGATCCCTTTGATCTGTCCAGATTTCAAACCTGAATCGGTGATATCTTGATGGGGATTATTTGGCATTTTGAATGAGATGAAAAGTGAAAAAGAAAATATTTGCATATCTATACTGCCATTTAGCTTAGGGCAACATGTAAAGCTAAGAGCAAGAAAAAAATTAAAAGTCTGACCTCATTAGGCAGTAAGAAACCCACATCCTATTTTTCCAGGTCAAGGACAGATTTTGAAAGTCAAATGTGTCCTTCAATGGTGCACTAGTTATTTCAACTTGGGCGGCATGGTGGCTCAGTGGCTAGTACTGCTGCCTCACAGCACCAGGGACCCAGGTTCAATTCCAGCCTCAGACGACTGTCTGTGTGGAGTTTGCACATTCTCCCTGTGTCTGCATGGGTTTCCTCCCACAGTCCAAAGATGTGCAGGGTAGGTGGTTTGGCCATGCTAAGTTGCCCATAGTGCCCAGGGATGTTTAGGCCAGCTGGGTTAGACATGGGAAATGCAGGGGTAGGGGAATGGGTCTGGGTGGGATGCTCTTCAGAGGGGTGGTGTGGACTTGTTGGGCCGAATGGCCTGTTTCCACATTGTAGTTTGAATGAGTACAGGCCCATCCCACCCAACTTCTCCCATAAACAAACCCACCTTGCCTCGTAATAGCTGAGAGATCCTTCTAAGAAGTGCCTCCAGTGTCAGTGTATGTCTCCTTAAATAAGGGGCCTGAACTGTTCACGTAGTCCAGCTACGGTTTGACAAGTGCCTTGTATAGTTTAAGCAAAACCTCCCCACCTTTATACTCTATTCTATTTGAAATAAAGTCCAACATTCCATTTGCTTTCCCAATTACACACCAAACTTGTCTGCTAGCGTTTTGTGAGTACTGAGCAATTTGATTACAAATTGTTGCACATTTCCCCCAGCATACCATGCTGTGAGTGGTCCCAGGAAGACGGAGATAGACCATTAGATTACGTGCTATGATTTGCTGATGACATTATGAACCTGTCTCTGCATACTAGCTCTGAGAGGTGAAGAACAGAAAGGAGTGAATTAATCTCAGATTATCATCTTTGATATGGTAAAGATCTCCTGTTTTCTTCATTGCTTCCTGTCACTTTTAGAAATTGGCTATTCTTGGTAGTATACACAAAGCACAATCTGCTGTTCCTTGTTCCTGCGTGTTTGTGTACCATAGAAATCTGATTAAAGTGACAGCGAAAGCACATAAAGTATTTGATGTTTCTAACAAATGCTAATTTTTCTACATGGCATTATTAAACATTATCATTTGAAATAAACTGAACTCAGAAGGTTCACACAAATTGGGCTGAATAAGGAATTTCAACATCACTTTGGTACAAACAACACCCACGATACTGCAGAGGTAATGTGCATCATGTTAATTTCCATAGATACTTATGATACAGGCTGATAGGTTGCCAAGCAACATAGACTCAACAGAAGTGTCACCTTCAAGGCTTAAAATTACTCTGTTAGTGATGACTGCAATTTTAGGCTGAATAGACTTATGCTATTCACAATTTATTAATCTGAATATAAATGTACATGGATACCTCTTGTTATATTTCAGAAAGCCAGGTATGGAAGATAGAATTAGAGCCAATCTTTACACACTTTTATGAATATTTAATTACAGAGATGTAAATCACAACTTGTGTTTCTATTTGTAAGAGCAAAAGTGAATTCTGAGCTATTGCCCGTCACCCACGTAAAATTCAATATAATATCCACTTAACAGCTTGCGCTATTTTCATTCCTTCTACCATTCTGTAAGTGACCATGAAATGTATTCTAGCTATATCTATACCTTTGATGAGATTTTCCATTTAGATGCATTTAAATTTTGAAAGCTGTTCAAATTTGTAGTGTTATAATCCCAGATGAAGTTATTACTGCACAATTCAGGTCCCAGACTGAAACCAGGCTTGATAAATCACAGTGTTTTATTTTGGTTTTAACAAAGTAGTCTGTCTGAAACATATGTATGTAATGTTGCAGATTTCGCTATCACAATAAAACAGAAGTTATTGACAAACATTTGAAGGGAAAATAAAATAAACCATGCCATCTATTTATAATATAAATTGAAATATTTTTCAACACACAGTTAAAGTATAATCCCAAGACAATTCATAGATTTAAAAGAGATGAAATAGCTTTTGAATTGTACCCAAAATACATCCCTTGGTTGAGTACCCAAAACACGACTCGTAATACTCACACCAAAGTCCTGGTACCCAAATCTCAAAAAGCTTGATAATCAACTTTTAGTCAGGAACTGCAACTTTTACCTGTAACCATCATACATCTGAACTAAAATCTACTATAGCTTGAAAGAACTTCTTTGGTTTTAACCCAACAATTCTGGTCTGAAAATAACGCTAACTTTTCACTGTAATGTAAACTAGTTCACTATATATCTTTAATTCGCAGGAGCACTGATCTGTATAGCCATTGTGTTCCATCTCCTGGATCAAGACTAGGCTGATGGAGTGATAATTAGCCTAGTTAGATTTGCCCTACTTTTCATGTACAGAACATACCTGGGCAATTTTCCATATTGCTGGGGAGATGTCAGTGTTATAACTGTACTGGAACAGTTTGGTAAGGAACGCACCATGTCTTTTGTGCTATTGCTGAACATTGTCAAAGCTCATAACCTTTGCAGTATCCAGTGCCTGCAGCCATTTCTTGATACTACCTAGAGTGAACTGACTTGGTTGAAGACTGGCATCTGCGTATGTGCCATTCTGTCAGCCATATTGACTTTCGGTGTAATTACTCCATTTACTAATCCCAGTCCATAGCTGTGGAATCTGCACAATGTTTCAAAGTTGCCAGCTATTTCTTTGGTGTCAGTACCATCTACAATACAGATGTTAATTTAACCTATTCAGTTGTAGGAAAACAGCTGGCATCACATTCTCATCAGTATTTGGGAGCACTTCAACAAGGCATTTTCACAACGAACAGATTTTGAGGTATCCTCTACCTCTAATCGCATTCTACCATGGGAGTAAAATTGAAAGCTAAGGCCACACTCTGATAGGTTAACAGTTCTAACAGCGGTAGTTTGTTATAAACAAAAACAGGGCAGTAAGTGGCACATTCCTGAATCACCAATTATTAAGGCATACTAGATTGTTGAATGAACAGATCCTAATGAATAGTATGATCCATTGTTGTATCCCTCAATCCAAAAAAAAATTCAACCAGTAATACAGTAACCAGGCAGAACCAGCAAGCTTCTTCTTTTTGAGGGAGAATGGGCAGGCAGGTTCCCTCAAGATGCTGTAGGTACTCCATATTTCATGGATACAAGACAGAGATGTGCTCTGTCAGCCTCAGAAATGCCAAAGCACCATGTCAATCCCACTTTTACCCTATAGTACCAAACCCTCGGACTTCTCTGCTGTTGTCTCAGCCCCAGAATTGGACCTACTTGCTACCAAATTCTAGAAATCTATTCCACAGTGCTTTATAAGGAGCATGATGCTTTTCACTACTTCCATGGTCCAGAGTACCTTCTGTAAGCTTCGAGATCCTGGAACTTTCTTAAGTTATTTCTTACTACAACACCCAGAACATACCTTCTAGCATTACCAGAAATCTGATACATCATAGGAAACTCCTTTGTTTTTTGGACACAAGAGGCCATCTCTTGATGCCATATATTAGAACTTTCCTCAGGGCCTCCAGATCTTCTTTCTCACCCCAACCATCATGCTACAGTGCTCTGAAGATCCCCACTACTGCAATAAACAGATGCCAGGAGTCTCCGAGAAAACCAATCTTCAGGTTCTTTCTCTGGTGCAAACAATCCTGATACTGACTTGACAGTGTATTTAATGATAAGACTTTAGTCCCCACCAATAGTTTAATAGACTCACCACTCCTCCCACTCCAATCCTTTACTCCTTTATCAGTAACAGAGCCGACAGTTTGACAGTACATATAAACCCCAGGAAACCTGTGCCCCAATTCTGACAGATTCCAGAAATTTCTCATCACAATTGTCCAGACTCAAGGACAATCTTGGGCACTGTTACATCCTGCACCCCTCTATACTGACAGATTGTTTTGTCTCTTATCAGTGCTCCCAGAACTCATATTCTGCTCCACAAATTTTGCTTAATTCAACATACCTAGGCTTTGGTGGGTAATGAAGATGTTACACAGCAGTTGTAGACAGTCTACAAAACCTTTGAGCTACTTTCAATTGCAGTGAATTCTTTTCATCCCTGTCACAACATTACTCAATACTAAAGAGCTACCATACTAAAAGTTTTTTTTGCAATAGTTTACTAACTAGATTCTTTTATCCTGGTCACAATACATACTCGTGTAAAAATTAGTTACGAGCTGTTTCTGAAGCCTAGAGAATGCAAAGCCCAGACAAAATAAAGATTGACTTCTTCTTCTCCTTCATCAATTGACTGTAAGTTGTGTAAACTGGTAACAGATGGTGGGCTCCCTAAAGGTGAAAGATAGAAACTGAGAAATTTGTTGAGACAGAAAGTTACAACCTAGCTTTTGTGAAAAGTGACTGAAAACAAGTCCAAAT